AAGGTTACTTATCGTACGTTACGCGAGGTTTTGAATTGTGGAGCGACAGAGTCGCAAACTTCCGAACCCAACAATATCTTAAAAAATGTATCAGAAAACAGTGATTAGATATTCTAAGTAAATTTATTATCTTATAATTATTACAATTATACATCCTGTAACAACATTGTTTATTATAAATCATTTAAGACTTCTTAATGGTCTTTTTATTTTCTTTACATTAATCTTATTCTTAAAAATTATATTTGAGGATGTCTTTATTTATTTAGTTAAACATCATTCTGCATATAACCTTGCTTGCATTATTTTATATTGAAATTATGCTATATGAACATTTTTGTTCTTATTATTCTTATTGCATCTACTACTACTATCTCACATATAAACCTTATATTCTACCCAATATTCTCTTTAGTTCGCTATTGATAAGTTAATAAACTGGGATCCATGACTGATGTTCTCCCAAATCCGATAGTAATACCACTATAAATCGATTAGTTATCAACTAATCGATTATTCCAATTTTCGATTCATATTACTACATTAGACATGTTAAATGGTCTTGGCCATTAAAAATGTACAAAAGTGGTTAGGTTGACATGTAATTGGATTTGAATGAACCTAGACTAATCGGATTGGTTCAATGAAACGAATCGATTATCCAAATCCAATTATTGAATTCCGAAATTTCATGATTGTATTTAGTATTCAAATTTGATTGGTTGTCTATAAAACAAAAGTCGAATATACAGACAGTTACCAGGAAGATAAACTCTAAAGGAAACACATATGTTGAACAACGAATCAGCAACCAATCAAATTCAAAAATTCATCAATAGCTGAATACTTAATCTACTTTAATATTTAAATAATGTAATAGTAAATATATATAGAAGTATATACAGTCAAACTTAGTTTTATCACTCCTTTTTTGGCTAAAGAGTTTTTGGTTTATATAACTTAGAGATATAACTGAGGCAATATTAATAAATATTGTCCTGCTAAATTATGGGGATATAACTTAGTGAGGACATACAGTAACTAAGGTTTGACCGCACTGTACTAGCATTTATAGACTATTAATAAGTCCTTATTTTTATTTTGACATTAGTAACTTTTCTTCAACAAATTTACTTAGATAATCTCGAAATGTGTTAGTCATTCTATTTTCTTCATACTTTAATTGATAATAAATGTTTGTTAATTTTTTCTCCCATTCTTTAACAATTTGAGTATTTCCTTTTTTCTTACTTGGTGACATTTGACTAATATCTGGATCTCCAATAGAATTTATAGTTTGTATAGATGATATTTCTTCATTAAAAAGATCAACTAAATAATTATCAAATAATATCTTATGAATTTCATGACTAGTGCTTTTTGAAATTACTTCTAAATGTGAAGGAAGGAAAAGTTTTTTTGCATTACAATAAACCTTAAAAATATCGCACACTGCTTTGAACTTGCATTGATTCATATCGATCGAGACTTCGGCTTTAGATTTTTGAAGTTGAGTTTCAAGGCTAATACATGTTTTTAAAAGATCTTCAAAACAGAGTGCAATCATTCGTTCATCTGATCCAAGTCTTTTGAGTACCCAGTCATAAAATATAGGTGACAGTGCAAGTGGTTTTTCATGAACATGCATAAATGATTCCATCAATATACTACCGATATCTTTTAATCTATGTTCAAACCGATGAAAAATATAATTTATAACATTGTAATTTAATTGAAAACCAAGTTCAATTAATTCCATGAGCCTTTTATTGACATCTTGTACAGTTGGCCGTGCCCATCCTACAAAAGGCTTTGAAGGAAAAAGAAGTAAAAGAGCACCTTTCATTACAAGATCATTCATATCTTTACAAATTTCGTGATACCCTATTTGTTTCCATAAATGCACCAAATCTTTATAGATTAAGATTGAACGTACTATCCCATTAAGCTGTCTGTTATTTTCATATCCATCTTTTGCAGGATATTCATTTAGATTTTCTTGAACATGTTTCATTCTTTGCGGAAATGGGATAAATTTCATTTTCAATATTAAATTTTGAAGGTTATTAATATTTTCTAGTAAAATATTATGTGCATGATTTATTACATGTTCAAAACCTCCAGAAAGTAAAAGAAAAAGTTCCATATCATCTCCCCTAACCCAGAGATCATCAGTCTTTAATTGTTCCTGCGCTGTAGATATTAAATATGAGAAAACTGAAATTTGCAAATTACTCGCCCATGAGGTTCTGGCATCCGAATTTTTTATTTTGTTAATATCTATCCTTCCTGCTGTGTTATATGCAGTTTTTATATCAATTAATTTTTGGTCACAACTGCCAAAGTGAGTAAATAGTCTTTGAATAAAGTATCTAGAAAGAATGGCTCCACTAGCAATAATGGCAGTTGCTACTGAAAGATTAATAAAGGTTGGACCCAGTCTTACAGCGTGAAAAAGAGCATGAGCCTTTCCATATTGACATAGGATCCATTTCGCTCTTGTTTGACCTATCTTGGATACATTAGAAAATTTTTTGCAACTTATTGCTAGGTTCTTAAAATCATTAGGAGAACTTGTAAATTCGAAAATAGTTATTAGAAGTTCATCTGCAATATTTAAAATGTTGACCGGCATCATTCACGCTAAAAGAATTTAATACAATAGAATCTTCACTTTATGTAAGTTCAGCCCAAGTCGCTGTACTCCATCAAGTCATACAAAAAAACTAAACACAAATCATCATAAGAAATTGCATCTGTTTATATTAACATACGGCGAATTATAAAAATATTTTGATAAATTTTGAACCAAAGCATAAATGTATCACGTATATAGATTTATTAACAATTACTAATAATAGAGTGACTTGAATATCGCAAATGAAACCTTAGATCTTTTCATTTGACGCCACTCAAGTACAAATTTAGTAAACATTTTCACATTTTCATTCGTTAATTTACTTATTGAATTTAGTATGTACGTACGGTGCCACCTTATTGCTATTATTGTAATGTTATTTTGGGATTCGAATTGAAAATGTAGTGATCTATATAATTTGTTTGATCAATTTTGTTGAGAACTTGACAATAGCTGCATTTTTTGTATTATTTTATAAACTTGAAACTATTGACCATTATCACACTAATAGTATTACGATGTTTATTGTTTATTTTTTGTACTTACCTTTATTTAGAGTCTAGTTGGTGAAACAGCTTTGTATTGTTAACGTAACATAATGTGCGTGGATGTACTTAATTATTATGATCTTTATGAAATTTAAACATTTTTTTAATATCAAAATGCTTTTTAAATGCAATTAATGCTTGACAATACAAACTAGCTTTAGTAATAAATTTGCTTACATGATAATAAAATTCATCCCAAGCATTATGTTAAAACTCGCACATGTATTTAGTTTTAATGTCATAAGTAGGATCGAGATGCAAGTGTGTTTTGATTTTAATTGGTTTTTATATTTAAGAGTTTAATTAGAGCTTGTATCCATTGAAAAGTCCCTGCTAGGTGCCCCGAGTTTGCCGGATAATTATTTAATGTTTTGTGTAGCAATTTATACCCGGGGTACAATCCCTAAATGCTAGATTGATGTAAATATTTATATAGACTTACATAGAATTTTATCATTTTGCGCATATGCGTCATAACGCATCCATAAGATTAGGGTAAGGGTCAAAGTTAAGATAGCTCAGGATTAAGTCATAGTAAAAGCTAATCTTATACCAAAATTTTGCAAGGAATTTTTTTTTTTTTAGAACGCGAAAAGTGATTCATGAGTAAATATGAACTACAAGCGATTTTTAGAAAAATCCGTATTTTCTTTCGATTTCACGTTACACCTGATCTTGCGATCTGATTGTTGATCAAGTGGGTGCGTTACAGTGCACATGCACTAATTACATATATAAATTCTAACTTTTAAAATAGAAATTATTAATATCAGAAATTATTTTATTTAATATGTAATAAAAATACAGCACCATGAAAGGAACTCCACACTTATGTGGGGATCCTTCCGAATGTCTCCCTTTGGCAAGGAGAAATTTGGGCCAGTAGCTTACTCATACGATTACATAAATTTATTATGGATTTTATGAATCATTGTATGACTACTTCTTGCATTGCCAATTGGCTGCAAGATGCCGATGGGTGCTATTATCCCAGTATGCCATCTTATAAACGGTAACAAGAGGGGAGTCTACCCTGAGTGATATCAGGTTTTCTTTGTTGATAACCAAACTTATTTGAAACCTGAATGGGAGATAGAGTCCTTAAATCAAGATTATTGGATTTAAAAATGAGCACTAGTTTTGTAATTAGGAAGATCACTAACAGTTAGCCAAGTTTGAATTAGTTTGGGTCATTACTTAATAAAACATTTAGAGTTACTTATTAAGTATACAGCAAATATTTCATGCTTGACTGCCATCTTGGAACTGTCATACAGTCATGATTATTTCAAAGTTTTGATATTTTTATTAAAATAGGTGACAACCAGTAAATTGCATAATGTACTGAATAGATAAGAAAAATCAAATGGCAGTCTTAATTCAAAAAGAACAGGCACTTTGATTAAAAAGTAAATCAACACAATTGATTGATGAAATAATACCAATCAAAAAACAAATCTCTTTTTTTTATACTTTTTCATCTGGAAATAAAAAGATCTAGCTAATAAAAATCAGTTTGACAATAAGATGTTATAAGTGTAAAGCTTTAAAATAAAGTCAAAAGTTTTTATTAACTATTACTTTTTTGCTTGGTAAAAGTGAACTAATATCATGTGAAGTACCTCTAACTATAGTTGAAGTTATATTTGTATAGATTTAGGTTCCATTTTATTAAAAAAATACAAATTACCTATAAAGCTAATTGGGTAACAGAATAACAATTTGAATCTTGATTAAAGATTTTTTTTTGCTTTTACTAAGACCAATTACAAATTAAACAAAATGAATAAAGGATGAATAATAGATAAATAACAGAAAAAAAATCTGTTATTATTCTACCCTATATCCACTAAATAATGGTAGCATAATAGCAGCATAATAGCAAAATAACAGTAAAATAACAGAAGTTTTGTTGATATGTATAATATAATAGTAACATAATGGCAAAATAATAGAACAGTTCTATTATTTTATTTTATTTACAAAGATTAAAAGTAAAATAATAGAACTGTTCTATTATTTTGTTATTATGTTACTATTTTGTTACTTATATTAACAAATCTTTTATTATTTTACTGTTATTCTACTATTATGCTGCTGTTATGTTGCTATTATTTGGTAAATATAGAATAGAATAATGTTGGATTTTTTTTCTATTATTTACCTATTATTCACTTTTATTCATTTGTTAACCTGCAAATGTTAACAGTAGATATTATTTTTATTGTATTTTTATTATACAATATATTATTATAAATTGTACAAAGAAAGTATACAACTAGTTATATATATAACCTTTGGTTACTTATTTAAGTTATTCATCTACAAGTTTCAAACTAGCTGTTATATCTATAAGTTACTAAAAAATTATCTATTTAAACATTCTAATTCTTATACTATATTAAATAAATAGTTTTAAGGTTTTTATATATTTAAGTATTATTTAATTTAACATTTAGTCAAATTTTTATATATCTATTTATATCATCTAACTTAATATTTAGTTTTTCTTTTGTATATTTATTAGATTGTTATTTATTTTAGAGTATATTACTTGACTGTAGAATTTAAAATGTTTTTCTATTAACTAATCTATCTATTCTATAGACTATTAATAGAGTTATAGTTTGCAAAGTTTACTAAAAATCTTAGCATCTACTTTATAGTATATCTTTAATACTTTAGTATATCTCTGCTTTATTCTTAGATTCTTATTCTAAATAGCTTAAAGAGTTGTAACCTATTTTTAATATATCAAGTTTGATCTGTTATTCTTTTCTTCTGATTTGAATCTGACAGTTTATTAGTAGTTTTCTTTATTTAAAGATTTTTATCTCAATTTCTTTATATTATTATTTATTTTTTAAATTTAGTTTTTTAATAGTATTACTTTTTATTGATATTAAAGTAAAGCCTTGTTTATATTTTTATTAATAATTTAAATAGTTGCATATATATATACTATAGCTAAAGTTAATATTTGCAGTTAGAGACTGCTAACTATATAATATGAGCCTGATTTTTGGGGTTACAGATGACTGAATCAGAGTGATAATCCTTACTTAATCCAAAGTTATGTAAAAAAGTAACAGAAATGTTATTTATAGTACTTATGTTACTTTTGCTACTTCAACTATATATGTATTAAATAACATATTAACCTTTTATTACATATATTAAGCATAAAAAATATTTGGAATTTATGGCATAAATTAATTATGAATGTAAATAAAATATTTATTATAAATAAAGAGCATTTCTGATTTGGAAAAAAGGAAGTTAGTCATTTCTTTTAAAAATAAATCTTTGAGTACTAATAATTATCCAATCTATAATAAATATAAGTGCTATAATAAACTAATAAACTACAGTTAACACCACTATTATTTATATTATTTGTTTATTTATAAACTACTAACTTGCCATTAATGACTTGTTACAAGTCATGTGACAAGACCAATAATGTAGTAGAAAAGTTTCAACTCTGATTTGATGTAGTGTGATTTTAGGTTGAAATAGATGAGAAAAGACTAAAATAATAAAAGAAGAGGTTAAAGAAAAGACACAAAAAGAAGAGACAAGTACTTATCTACAGATAAACACTAGCCAAATTTAATACATCTATTTCAACTTAGCCACTGTAGGTTATGCAAGAGTTGGATTAGTTTAGTAACAAACTTGCTGATTTCTGAAATAACAATAACTATTACTATTTATACAAAACAAATTAATTAAAAATTATATACAAAAATAAAAGCTCAAACTAGTCTAAATTTATTAGAATAATCAAAGCTTATTTAGATTTGAATATTTAGTATATAATTTGATAATATGTTATATTTGATTTATAAAATAGACTAAATGTTAATTTTGCAAGTTGTTTGATTAATAGAAGGATATGTGTTTGAGCAAGTATGTAATTGATCAGAAAGTCTACAAAAATATAAATAAATATAATTCTTTGTAAATGTATATGTTTTGTAGTTAGATTAGATGTTCTTAAAGATTTTTTTTTTTTTTATTTATATAATGTTCAAGTAGAAACTTTTTACATATAGGATCATAAGTTCTAAAATTAAAAATTTCTAAACTATATTTGTGCTACAAATTGGCACCCAATGTGATATTATGTCCTCTATTTCCTGTAAATGTTATAGCTAACTATTTCAAATTAGGTTCTAGCTAAGATAGGTTGAAGAAGACCTTTAAGTGATTGTCTGAATATTATTAAATACAAAAAGTTAGTAAATAATATTGTATAAGCTATTTGATGATAAAAGAGTTAATATATATAGTTTAAGGAGAGATTGTTGTATTGTTTAAAGAATTTGATAATGTTAGTAAGTAAATTTTAGTGCATTTAGATTTTGATGTAATGTTGCAAGATATTTTTCATTAATGTTGATATGTATTGCAAGTAAACTAGAGATCTTAATAAAACTAGTTTAA